TCCTTTTAGACTTGGAGTAACGAGTTCTAAAAGTCCTTGAATATGTGTCACATGTCCTGAGGCTTCTACTCTCAAAATGTATGGGCATGACATAACCATCTCGATCTCTAGAACGATGAGATTGCATTCATTCTTCGCGAATCTCCACAGCAACCACGCCCTTGCATTTCACCAGGTGCTTCAAAACCTCAATGTCTGCCGCCATTCTTCTTATCAACTCGTTTTTCTCCTGCACACGACCCTCCAGAACCTGGGTATTTGTTCTTCGCTTTTGACCATCTAGGCTTCGCGTGTAGCGAGGGCTCTAACTCTGCTTTTCTCGCGCACCCTTGTGAGGGTTCCATTGTTGAGGGTCTAATTTTGCTATAGGCGAAGCAAGAGGAAAATCATCATGTTTCTTGTTCGCATCTGGCATTTGGCCATCAATGGCGGATTGAGGCAAATCTTCATTGTGCGCCATTAACTCTTACTGATGGAACACTTGATCAAAAGGTAAGTTCTCTGAGTTTTCCGACAGACGGCGCCAATTGTGCAAGCATGAAACAATCTTCCCTCGTATAATCCTGTTGATCAAGCTTGGACTCCTCCAAACGTCATTGTAACACCTGAAACCACAAACGTGAGCTTGCCAGCGGGTGTGTGCCGAAAACCCCTTTGATGCCTAAGTCAGCAAATAGACTAAGAGGCAAAAGATCTGTGAATTCGGGAGTATGACTTGAAAGGGTTTGGTTTGAGCTTTTATAGATTTCACATGACACAATCCTAGTAGGACTCTAACTCTCATTTGTAGAGTTTTCCTAAGAATCACATTCTTAAAGGATAATGCTTATGCTTTGACACCCTTCTCATTGCAAGCCAAGTGAGATGGCATAACTCTTTGCTTGGCTACCGTCGTGCAATTGGATTGCCTTTGTTCTGTTCTCCATTAGCTTAGCCGTGCAACACATAGTGCTGTGCAGCGTGTGCATGCCGTGCCACCAAGCTGACACTGTGCGACTATACTCCTAGTTTGATCAATCCTCTGTTTTGACCGCCTTCGCTTGTAGCTCAGTTCAATCCTTGACTAACATTAAGAAGTAGCTAGGTCCCAGGATATGGATCTTTACTAGTCCGGTCAAACATCTTTACTCGACCTAGTCTCTGTTTGGCCCAAAACCGCGATATCTCAACTCATAGCTCGCCCCACTATGCGGCCTAGCTCTTGAAGACAATTCCAACTAGCTTGGTCCAATTTGGCTACACAAATTACCCTTTCAAGAAGGTAGTAAAATAATTTCAAATGCATGAAAGTAAAACATTTCTTTTGCACAAATTAGTGCATATGCCATTTGTACTTTCGTGAATTTCAAATTATTTTACCATTCCCCAAATTTTAATAAGAGATTTTTTTTTAATTTAAATAACTTTTATGTACAATACATTTTTCTATTAGGATGTATCAAAAAATCCCAAATAATGATCTTATGAATTTTTTTTTTTTTTTAAAGATCCAAAGGTCTTTCTTGTGAATTATACAAAAGGTCAAGTATAAACAAGCGTGTATTATATGTTGAGAAACAAATGTGAATTTTCTCATAATGTTGAAATTACTAAACGTGACACTTCAAAAGTAAACTCCTTAGTGCATTATTCTCCAACGTAACACATTATAAAACTCTTTAGTGTATTTTTCCTAAACGTAACACTTCAATCAATATAACATAGTGTTTTTTTCCAAATGTAACACTCAAATAAATGTAACACACTAAAACTTCTTAGTGTACTTTTTTTTAAATGTAGCACTCTAATGTAACACTTTAGTGTGACACTAGAAAGCCACACTTATAGAAATGTAAATTTCCACATTTGGCAATCAACACTTCAGCCACCAATTCCTCCAAAAAGAATCTTTCACATCTCACCTTTCTATTCTTATCTCAAAAACGAATCAAAAAATTAAAAAATGAATCACAAAAAGACATTTACTTAAACTTAAACGACATCAAATCAAATATATATAACTTTTTAAACCATAAAGGACTAATTGATTCATAAGAAAATTCTTAAGATTAAATGGATTAACATTTCCCCATATGAGATTTATGGATAAATTTTCCTTTCTATTATTGGAAATAAATTTTGTTAATTTATTTACAGCTTTTACTATTGGGGCCTTTAGTAAATGAAGTTTTTTTTTATTTTTTTGTTTGTTTGTTTTGGTTTAACTGGACCTTTGCATGGGGAGATTTTTTTTTTCTAGACTTTTAGACAGTAATTGAATTAATTTTTAAGAAGAGATTTTTTTAAATTTAAATAACTTTTATGTACAATACATTTTTCTATTATTGGAAATAAATTTTGGTAATTTATTTACAACTTTTAATATTAAGGCCTTTAGTAAATGAAGTTTTTTGTTTTTGTTTTTGTTTTTGTTTTTTTTTTTTTTTTTTTGGGGGGGGGGGGGGGGGGGTTGCGGTACTAGATTTGTTCCTGTCTATGGGGGGAGAAATTTTTTTTTTTTCTAGACTTTTAGATAATTGAATTAATTTTTAAGAAAATATCAAATAGGTCATTTTTCTAATAAGATGAAAATTTTATTGGAATAGTATGATTTATTGAATTTTTTTGGCCTTTAGGCTTAGGACCTTTAAACAATTTGTTTTATTGACTCTTGGATGAAGAGGTTTCTTATGGACTTTCAAATAAAAATGTGCATTTAGTATTTATGATAAGAAATATTTGACAATAAGATTTTTTTATTTTTTATTTTTTCTGAATTTCAAGACAAGGTTTTTAGATAAACATTATTTTTTGGGTCTTAAACATTATTTTAGATAATATTACAATGCTTTTACTTGTGTAAATAATAAATATTTGTATTAAAGATTACATCAACAGATTACCATAATATTCTCTCTAGTCAAAAGTTGCTGAGATATACCAGATTTCATAAATCCAAAATGAACAAATTAAAGATAAATAACGCAACGTTTAGAGTTCTTAAAATTTTACGAAAAATAGTTTTGATAAAAAAGAAATTGAAAAAGAATAATAAAAAAAAAAGCTTATTATTTTTATATACTTTTCTTTTTATAAAAAAAATCAAAAAAACAAAATTTGAAAGGGGGATTTATTGGGAGATTTTTTTTTCAAATTTTATATATCCCAATTAATTTATAACATATTATTGTCCAATGTTTGTTTGGGATATTATGGAGAAGGATAAATGCTCAAATGACTATTTTATCTAGGGGTGAGCATGGTCCGGATTGGACTGGATTGGAGTGAAACCAGAACCAATCCGTTATTTACGGATCCTGAAAAATTGGAACCAATCCAATCCGTTTAAATCGTGGAACCAATCCGAACCAATCCATTTAAATACGGATTGGATCGGTTTAGGACCACGGATTTATATAATTAAATAACAAAAAAATATATATAACACTTTATTTTCATAAAAATATAAATATAACACAATATTAGTTTCACAATAACAACATGTCTTTTCATAATAGCGACAAACTGTTCTAGAATTTAAACAACCATAAAGAAACTAGTTCCACCATAAGTATTTAAACCATTACAAATTAACACTAAAAAAAATTAAATAAAATATAAACAAAATTTTAAAATAAAACATCAATAAAATATCTATAAAAAATTAAATAAATAAAACAAAAATAAAAATTAAATTAAATTATTTTATTTTTGAATTGAAACATTTAAATTTTATTGAATTTTACTAAATATAATACATAATTAAATACCAGAGGGCAAAAATATAATTTTAGTAGCTAATCCCATGGGATGAGTTATCCCATGATTTCTATCCCAACCCGCCCATGCGATAACCTAGTCCCACAAGTATGAGACTAAGGTCATGTTTGTTTGGACGGACTGAATTAGTATTCCCATGACTAATAGTCTTAGGACTACAAATCTATTGGATTATGTATCCTATCTTAACTAATAGTTAGGTTTAAAATAATTAGTCCGTACTTCAATTATTTAACAAAATATCGGATTAATAATTTTATTGGACTATTAGTCCAATCCCAAGCTCATGTCCACCCAAACAAACATGGCTTAATAGTACGGGGAACTATTAGTTCGGACCAAAAAATTCATACCAAACAACGGACTATTAGTCCATCCGGACTAATGGTCCAATCCCATGGTGTTATCCTTCAAAACAAACATGCTCTAATATAAATTTTACTATTAGGGATATTTAGATAATTATGTCACCCACACAAATTATTAGAATATAAAAAAATAATTTAAATTAAATAAAATATAAGTAAATAAAGAAAAATTTATGAATAAATACCCCAATTTGAAAAGTCAACCAGATTTTTGTCATTACTTTGTACAAGTGCCCATGTGAATAATTGTGATTGATTTGTTTTTATTATTTATGAATCAGTAATAATTTTCTAAAACTACAACTGATCTGTAATTTCTTCCTTTTTATTTAGAATTTTTTGTCTATTTTTTTTTAAAAATTAGTGATAAATTTTATTAAGTTTATGAATCAGTAATAAATATTTTTTAAAGGCGTCACTAATTTATAATTTTTTTTTCTTTTCATTTGGAATTTATTATTGTAAAATAATAAAAATAAATAATACTATTTTATCATATATCCATTAAAACAGTTTTAAAAAAAAGGGGAATTACAAAAAATATTTACAAAAAGGTAAAAAAAAATTATAATTATAATTATTAATATTTAAAATGTTTATCACCTTTTATGTAAATATTTTTTGTGATTATCAAATATGTGTAATTCCTCTTCAAAAAAATCAGTAATATAATGCAATGTTTTGTAGACTTAGAAATTTGGGAATGAAATAAATATTTCTGGTTTCATCATTAATGGATGCTCTAAATCAACTGTTACAATGGCAGAACCTAAATTCAAGAGAAATCAATTACAGACAATATTATGAATCCAAAGAGTAACCCAACTGATTTGCTAGTGTGATTACTAGTATCTGAATTACTCTATCAAATAATTTATGAATAATTGTATGTATTCAAATTTACTATGAAGCTTGATACAAAGATCTGTTTCAAAATTTCTTCTCATTAAAAAAAAAAAAATTTAAAAATTTTAGCTCAGAATCAATGTAAACAGTTGAACTCAAGACATTGGTGTTCACTAGGGTGTTGACAGATCGGATTTAGTCAGATGACCTCTCATCTGCCATCTATCCGAATTTAGGCGGATTAAGAAAAATACATCTACATGGTCCGCTCATCCGCTCAAACTATTGAAATAGTCTACTCTATAGTAGATTGGTTCATGCCCTTCTATTTTAACGGATCAGGCACCCCTAGTGTTCACAAATTCAGCATCAGAAACCACCGAGACTTCGACTTGGCTAATCTCATCTTCATCAATCGGAGCTGGAAGATTAAGATCAATCAACTTTTCACTACCCAATTTCGATTTCACTGGTTTAGTAGCAACAACTGTAGAAGTAGTAGTAGTAATTATTGTTGATGATGATGATCCAATAACATGTGATCTTTTGTGTCCACCCAATGCTTGGCCAGAAGCAAAAACTCTGTAACAAATAGGGCATTCATGAACTTTCTCTTCTGTAACTCTAACCTCAGTTTCCAATGGCGGTTCACGAATCGAACCACCATTGTTGTGAGCTCTGTTCTTCTTGTGACTCGCTCTGTGACCACCAAGTGCTTGATAGGATCGAAACACTCTGTGACAAGTCTCGCACTTGTACTTCCCTCGAATCCGAGTCTTGTTGCTCTGTTTTTTGAACTCGTCCGAGTCGTACTCAGTCTGTTCATCTTCTTCTTCATCTTTTTCTTCGTTTCTCAATACCCATTTGTCTCTGGATAACATCAACAAGCAATAAGCGAGTTCTTCTTCTGGGGAGGTCTCGGAGATCGAACTCACAGGCGATTCGGGCTTGCCAGGTTGGCCCGATTTGGGTTTCTTTGACTCTGGTTCTTTCGAGGTCTGGTTATGGCAATGGTGGCGATCTGGGTCTGGAATTCCGGACCTCCGAATTCGCTTGGATCGTCTCCGAGTTGGGTTCTTGGATGACTCGGTCTCGCTCTCTCTGTCTTGAAGAACCACAGACGAGCCAGCGAAAGAGAACTCGGGATCGACTAATCGAATGCTCTTTTTTGGGTTCTCTCTCAACCCGTAACTCAACAAGCCTTTCTCTTCATTTTCTTCTTCTTCTTCAGATGATGATGATGGAGTCGACTCAGCCTCTTCACCGAGTCGTCGATCATCTTCATCGTCATTGTGTTGTTGTTGTTGTTGTTCTGGTTTTGGTGGAACATAGAGATTCATCATGTGAGATCTCATGTGTCCACCCAAAGCTCTGCCATTAACGAAGCTCTTGAAACAGAGCTTACACCTCTGCTTCTCCATCACAGAGAAAACCAAAACAAACCCAGAAAAATGCTTTTGTGTGTATATGTGAAATGTGAATTCTCTTAAGAAGGAAGGAGAGAGAGAGAAAGAAGAGAGGGTGGAAAGCAAGAGTAGGTGACAAGCATTCCTCTCCACCAAGAGATATATAAACATTTACAGAAATATAATTCGAAAGAAATTGCTGTAATTTGGGTTTGGATTTCACTTGAATTTTTTTTTTTGGGCTTTAGTAAAAACGGAAAAAAGCAATAAATTAAAATGGAATTAAAGGCTTGTGCATGAAGGGAGAAAGAGGGAACATGTAACATGCAAGAGCTTTTACCCTCTTTTGTATTTATTAATTTTCCACCTTTCAAAACTCAATTTCCAAAACTACCCTTTTTAAATCTTGCTTTTTATCTCCAAATTTAATTAAAAATGCCTTGCTATTAAAAAACTCATTTACCCAAAAAATATCAAAAAAAAAAAAAAAAAAAAAAATAAGAAAAAAATATAAAGTGTTCAAAAATTTAAGTATATAGTGTATATTTTTCTATATATATATATATATATATATATATATATATTTTTGTAAAAGTTAAAAAAAAAATTCAAGTGAATAGTCAAATTTTAAAATAACCCTAAATTTGGAGACAATTAATGATTTAACATAAAATCTGATTTACAAGTTTTTGTGTTCAAGTCTTATTACCTATATTATCTTTATTGTTGTATGATATATGCTGTATTGTCTGCTTATGGTCCTCTCTATGTGCGAGATGAGATCACATGTGAAAAGAGAGTTTTAGCATTCGTTTGGCATAATGGTTTAAGGTTAATATAGTCAAAAAAATAAATTAAAAAGTTAATAAAATAAAATGTCACATTCAAATTATAATCATTTTATTTTTTTTAATATAAAAGTTAAAAAACCAAATAGCTCCAGATTAAAATAACTAAAAAGCGAACCTACATCCCAAACGAATTCTTAGTATGATAAATATTATTAAGGCCTCTTTTCGGACATGGAAAAAAAAAGTCAATTTATTGGTTTATTTGGATCACATCATCTCTACTTTTTTGCACTTTTTTTTTTTTAAGTAAAAAATTAAACAAGCCTAAGTTCATTTTCTTATAACTTTATTTTTTTAGATATTTGATAATTTAATATCTAGCTCACAATTTAAATTCTGACTTTTTTTAATTGAACACTTAAGCTTGTTTTGGGAAATAGGTTAAAAGCTGATTTTTTTGAGTTTTTGAGGTTTCTTTGTTAAAAAAAACAAAGAGAAAATGTGATAAAAAAAAATTCAAAAAATTACTTTCAATCATATTCCCAAAACAAGCCTTAAAAATTAATTGTTTTTGCCCACAAAGTATACAATTCATGCCTTTCCAAGTCCTTTCTTTGTTAATTTTGAAATAAAAATTAAAATTTAAGAGAATTAATGGAAGGGTATTTTGGGAATTAAGTGGAGGTTACCATATCCTTGCACAAGCCAAAAGAACTGCTGAGTTTGTTATAAGTAACGACGGAGCTGAGTAAAACAACACGTGATACAAACATGATCTGGCTGTGATCGAAAGCTAAATAACAACCCAATCAGAACAGCAATAGAAAACCCGTGTTACACTTGTCACACCCACAAAGCTGGTTTCAAACTACAACATGCACCCTCACAGCTTCAAAGAGTACTCTTGCTCAAGTTATTGCAAATTGCCATAATTAAGAGAGGAATCTGTTAATTAACTATTTTTTCAGATTTTGTTACTTTTTTATGAATTGATTTTTAAAATTTTTATTCACATTAACTTATTTAATTTAATTGAAATCATAAATTTCACCACAAAAAAAAAAATTGTAAATTACAAACACACTTTATGATATTTGTTTAAAATACATATTACCTCCTTTGATTTTAGAAATTACAAATGTCCCTTGTTAAAATTTTCCATTTAATAGAATTGATAGAAAAAATGACATTCTAAACTATCCTCTTATACAACAATAAAATTATCAAAATTGTTAATTGAAAATATTATTAAAAACTGTTAATTGACTTAATGATTGATTAATGAAAAATGAGGTTATTTGTAATGCGATTAGAAATTTCAATCGGTGAGATGCAATTACCACAACCATAGAGGACAATTAGTATTTTAAATAAATATTAAAAGATATATTTGTAATTTATTCAAAAAAAACAAAGAAAAAAAAGAAGAACTCATATAGATTACCCCGTCTAATTAGAACATAAGACTTCATTTGATTTGATTTTTTTATTTTTTATTTTTATTTTATGCTAATGACATTAGAGCCAAATATCAAAGAGAAATGTAATTTATCACCCATTTACTTCATTTATTTACATCATTTTCGATGCGTATTATCCAATAAATGTCATACTTATATGTAGGCCGATTATATTTAAAAATTAACAAAACTTAATATGTCATATCAAAAATCACATAAAAAGTAAAATTTTTTGATAAAATATTCAGGTGAGCAGGTGAGCAGTCTGGAGGTAACAATATATTTTTATAATTGAAGGGATCAGAATGTATGGATTCATAAATGAAAGGGTCAAGTGATATTTCTAAATAATTGAGGGTGTCTTGGAGCAAATAATTCAATTTTGATATATTATGCTTTCTGTACCTTTTATTTATTTAAATATATTTAATAAGTGGAAAGACAATTTAAATATAATTGACTAATTAGTGCATTTCAAAAATACTTGCCTTCAATTTTGGATCTTTGGTTGAAATGTCTAATGAAAATGAAGGGTTGGGAAGCGAGTGGAAACTAACCTCCCTTTGAGGATGGAGTTTTGTGTGGTAGTGAATGCCGTTTTCTTTGGGGAAGATGGTAGACCAGATGCCTTTACTCATGGTTGGATTTTAATAGTACTATTGCTAAAAAGCAATTTAAAAAAAAAATTAAAAAAATGGATTATGAAAAAAAAAAAAAAATTGTAGAATTAAAGGGGTTTAATCTTAATTTTTTTTATTATATTTGTTTTTTTTTAATTATAAACTATTCTGTAATTTACTCTATTTTATGAGTCATTATTTTTTTAAAAGACATTATTTAGATTAAAAATACGTCTCGTATTCACAATTTCTTTTCTTCTCATTTTAATGGAAATGCAAATAAGAGTCAACCAGCAAAAGCTAGTTCAGTGGTTTAAGAAAGATTTGGGACCAATAATTTATTTATTTATTTTTATTTTTTATATTTTTTTGATTAGGGGACCAATAGTTAGTTGTGAGATTTTGAGTTAAATTATTATTAGCATTATCTTATGCGATACATGTAATTTGTGAATAAAAAACTCACATAAGAGTTGTCAACCAACAGCATGGTTCTTGAAGCGACACAAAATAGTTAGAAATGATCAACTCAATCTTATTCAGTTCTTGAGTTGGTTTAGAGTGACTCAAACTAACCCAAAAAATATATATCATATACAAGTTCACTCTATAATTATTTGTCTTTATCTTTCTAGGTGTTATCTTTTATAATTATAGTGGTGGAATTTAGATTATGAATATTTCACTCTAAACTATTTTATCCTAAATTTTGTTTGAAATGATTATTTATTGAAAATTTCAATTCATGTTGGTGGTTCAACCCTATTTTATTTGGACTGGGGATTGATTTGGTTTGAAAGGATAATTTGTTTGATTGTAAATCAAAAAAATTAAAACCAAGTAAAGATTAATTTGATTATGAGTTTGACACCAACTCAAACCAACATGATTCATGTTTACCCCTAATTCAATTTAACCCTCATCCTTAGACAAGGGTTGCGTGTTACAACACGGTGTTGTGAGGTTCATGGGGACTTGTCTTTAGTTAATATTGTTAATTCGAACGGTTCATATTGTAAAATTTGTCGAGTAGACTATCTATGAAAAAATTTAGATTAATTGAGTATCTATAACCTCAAAACAAGACCATATTTGTTTTTTTAAAACTAAACGGTTAATATTATTTTGATAATTTATTTTAAAATAATTAAGACTTGATTATAGGGTTATATATGTTCGATTAATTTGATTTTTTTTCATAGATAATATGTTTAACAAACCTTATAATATGAACAATTCAAATCATTAAAATAAGTTCAGGACACGTCTTCATAAGGCCATACAATGTTGGAAATGGTTTGGAAAAATCTAGGTTTATAATAGATTTTTTTCCTAACTTTGGTCTATTTTTTAAGTGGGTCCCGTGCGTCGATTTTCGCGGGTCAAAGTGGTAACGCGTTCTATGCCGCATTGTGATTCATGTGATATATTTGGTTGCTCAAAACCATTATCGAGTGAATGGGAAATTGAAACCAAAGTATGCTCCATGGAAACGGAGTTTTGGTAGAAAATCCTTAAAGGTTTGAATAAGGCTTGTCCCACATTGATTTGGTTGGAAGTTTTGAATGGGTTTATAAAGTATGGGATTGGAACTTAGGGTGTGCCCCAAGGGGTACCCAAGTGTTTTAGAGAGGGAGGTTATGGGCAAAATGGGCTAGACCCATTGGACCCAAAAATCACCACACGCGTGCCGTCGTCCAGCGGGCTAGGCTATGGTGCGAGTGCGTGGTTGGGTTGGGCTTGTCCAGCCCAATACCTATCTTTTTGGGTAAAAAAATATTTGAATTTAATTTTATTTTTTGGTAAAATAAAATCCAGAATTCAAATTAATTCCGAAAATAAACTGGTCTGATTTTTCCTGTACACCCAAACAGGGCCCTTCCCGTTTGACGTCCACATTTTGAAAGCACCGTGGAGAGGACAAATCTGTCTTAAGGATACAGTGTCAAACACTGGACTTGATCAGATATTTATTAGAAAAAATTAATCAAGTAAGTTCTTTAATTTATTATTCTGTTTTATTTGTTTATTAAATCAGATTTTAATTTTGTTTTTGTAACAAAATAAAATCTGTTTTTATTTATTTATTTATTTCTATTTTGATTTTTGTAATTAAATAAATTCTCTCATTTTCTTTATTTCTTTATATTCTTGTTGTTGTTTAGTACACAACAGAATTTAATCTATTTAAATACAGTGAAGATTGTCCAACAATCTTTAGACAGAATCATTTTTGGGTACCTTCATTGTATTTAATTTTGTGTAATTTCATAA